ACTCACTGTCCCTCCTCTGGACATGTCCAAACCATTTCAGTCTGGTCTCCCTAACTTTATCTCCCTGTTGTTCAACCTGTGCTGTACCTCTGATGACCTCAGTCCTAATCTTATCCATCCTTGTCACTCCTAAGGAGAACCTCAACATCTTCATTTCTGCCACTTACAGTTCTGTCTCCTGTCTTTTGGTCAGAGCCACTGTCTCCAGACCAGAGACAAACAATATAGTCGGACTCACCTCTGGCTTGTAAACCTTTCTTTTGACCTCTTCTGCCACCCATTTGTCACGAATCAAACTTGTGTTTACTCGTATTTATTTTATGTGGATTGCACACGGCGCTGCCCGTTGTCACAGATTATGTTCATAACTTTTATGGACAGAATTTCTCGGTGCAGCCAGGGGGCGGAGGGATTCTGGTACGGCGGCCTCAATGTGATTTCTTGGATTATTTTTCCTCATTTTGTCTCTGTTAGTTGAAGTGTACCTATGATGAAAAATACAGACCTCTCTCATATTTCTAAGTAGGAGAACTTGCACAATCAGTGGCTGACTGAATACCTTTTTGCTCCACTGTATATATAATATACACATATACAGTAGTCCCTCATTTATCACGGGGGATCTGTACCCTGAAGACCTGTGATAAGTGGAAAAACTGTGTATGTATTCAAAGTATGTATATGTGTATATAAATATATATATGTGTGTGTGTGAGTTCTAGAATTGTGCCGCTCAAGGTGGCTGCATGTTGGAGCAGCTCTGTTACATTCATTCTGATTTACTGCTTTTGAAAACTTTAATTCCTCATTTTTCTGGATGTATATCGCTTTTTTACGATGATTATTTCCTCTGGTATCGGATGCTGTGCAGCTGGAAGGATTTTTACTGAAAACTTTTTTAGTTTTGGACATTTGTTATGATGCGTAACCATGGCAACAAGATATATATTTTTTTTTTTTTAACAACAAGGAGTAGCTGATTAACATCATAAAGCTCAAAATATCTCATCTACAGCCCCAAATCCCAAATGAGTTGAAAAGGAGGCGCCGTGGACATATTCCTGTCAACCTGGCAGCAGTGCTCGAGTACCTGACCACCGAGATCCTGGAGCTGGTGAGAAACTCGGCTCGTGAGGAGCTCTGCAGACTGCTGGGAGGACTGACCATCACTCAGGGAGGAATTCTGTCCGGCATTTGGGCAGTCCTGCTGCCCAGGAGGACCGAGAGGCCCGCTGGATCTGACAGCAAGCTGGATCTGGGTGGACGGATCGGTATCTGTGGTCAGATTCTTCAGCTTCACTGCAGGAGATCCTTCCTGTCCACAGCTATCAGCATCTATAACAACTCTTGAATGAAACCAGGATGATGAGCTACGACAACACTTAATTTCCCTCTGTGATTAATAGTTTTTTTGAATTTTTTTGAATTTTTTAAATGAACCTCTTTTAAAGTAATCACTTGATGAACATCTCATCTGCCTCAGATTACATTTTAAAGTCAAGTCAAGTCAAGTCAAGTCATGTTTATTTATAGAGCACAATTTAAAACAGATAGACTGTTATCAAAGTGCTTAACACTAAGGGTAACACTGAGAAATAAAAAGCAGTAAGAATATACCTTAAAAAATTAAAACAACAGCATTAAAATGAAGACATGGAACAAGATATACTAAATCAACTCACACAGTATGAAACGCCAGAGAGAACAGATATGTTTTTAGCAGGGATTTGAACACAGGAAGGGAGGTGGCATGCCTAATGTTGGGGGGTAGGTTGTTCCACAGTTTGGGACCCATGACTGAAAACGCCCGATCTCCTCGAAGCTTCAGTCGTGTTTTTGGAACAACCAAAAGCAGCTGATCTGATGATCTCAGAGCCCGAGAGGGAACATATGGTTCCAGTAGCTCAGAGAGGTAGATGGGTGCGAGGCCATTTAGGCACTTATAGGTCAGGAGGAGAATTTTGAAATCCATCCTAGTTCTCACAGGAAGCCAGTGTAGGGAGGACAGAACTGGTGTGATGTGCTGATACCTCGGTGTACCGGTTAAGAGCCGAGCTGCAGCATTCTGGACGAGCTGTAGCCGTGAGATAGAGGCCTGGCTGACCCCAGCATACAGTGAATTACAATAGTCCAGGCGGGTTGTTATGAATGCATGGACTAGTGTCTCAAGGTCGGGTCTAGACAGCACTGGCTTGAGCTTAGCTACCTGCCGCAGTTGGAAGAAGCTTCTCTGCAGAACTGAACTGATCTGTTTGTCGAACTTAAAATCCGAGTCAAAAAGCACTCCAAGGTTTTTAACAGAGTGCTTCAGATAAGGCTGAAGGGAGTCCAGGTTCACAGGATAAGAGGCGGCAGCTGAGCTAGGGCTAAAGACAATGACTTCAGTCTTCTGGTCGTTAAAACTTAGAAAATTTGAAGCCATCCATGTCTTAATGTCGTCCAGACATTTGAGGAGAGGGTGGACGGAACAAGCACCGGCTGGTTTCAGTGGCAGGTAGATCTGACAGTCATCGGCGTAGCAATGGAATGGAATACCATGTTTTCTTAAGTCAACATAAATTAAAATGACTTCCACAGCCTCCATCAGTAAACTGAATTGTAAATGAGTCCTCGTGACTCATTGAGACTAACCTGTATAAATAAAGGTTGAATGAAAAAAACACAATAATGACTTGTCAGTTTAACAAATATTGAGCTAAGATTTAGTGTATTTGTAGCGTGGTCTTCTGCAACACACACCGTGCGCTAACAAATCCAACAAGATCTCACTAAATTGAATGAGGCTGAGCATAACATTATTTACATGGTTTAATCATTTTCTAACACAAGATGATCCCAGTTTCTGGTATAAAAGGTGTCAGGTGATATGGGTATTTTCAAGGAATGCTAGTTTTTATTTTTCCTCTGTCACAGAGCGTAGAGGGGGAGCTGAAAGTATCCTCCATCTGTCTGTTCATCTGTGCATGTTGTGAGCATGATCACTTGAAAATTTAACGAGGTACCTACTTCTATTTTGGTGTGTGGCTGCAGCTAGGTATAAAGAAGTTACCATAGAAAATTGGGTTGCCACGTCAAAATCCAAGATGGCCACCACCATACATATGTATACATATATATGTGTGTGTGTGTGTGTAAACCAGCCATCCCAATCATTTGAAGAAACTATGTTTTCTAGTTTTTATATTGTTTGAATATATAGTTTCCTCAAACTCTTTGGGTGGCCAAGGCCACCATTGGCCACCCTCTGGCTCCGCCATTGTGTCTTATGGTGGATAACATTTATCCCTCCATTCGCCAGCATCCATCACTCTGTGCTGCCTCCGACAAGAAAAATAAATAAATAAACTTCTTCTTAAACAGTGTAACTCAAGATTCAAAGTGACTTTATTGTCCTTCACATGTGGTACATGAGGTGGAACAGAATTGTGTACTGGGTCCCAGTAAAACAGCAACTCCTACCAACTTGAATATCTTGCACCAAACATTAAGGTTTACTTGCACTTCCTGTTCTATTCCAATCCAGAAAAACTCATCTTGAAAACTGCAAACGTTCAGTGATCCTTGAGCAACAGGGACATCGTTGTGCCGTTTGTTTTACAAGGTTTTGCTCATAAAACTGAGTTCCACACGTGAGGTTTGTGTGGTTTTTTTCTGAAAGGGCAGAATTTCACATCAAAAGATCCAATTTAGCTTTTGTATGTGCTCGTTCAAAATGTGAAAAAGTTCGAGTTTCAGTTGTTTAGATATCGAACTCTTTAAAAAAAACACGTGTTTGAGCAGTTTACAACATAACTTTTCCAAGAAATCTACTTTAAATATCAGATCTATCTTTTTAAGGATACCATGTATTTCCGTGTAGACGTGCAGGAATTCATTTGAAAGGCTCTTCCATGAGAAAATAAAATTACTGTTTACAGAAAGTGCTAATAATTTATCATTTTAACTTTGAATTTCACGTCCCAGTTGTTTTGCAGATTACTTCTGAAGAACTGCGCGTTCGGTTAAAAACACCGTCTAATTGAACTTCACGAGCTCCAGTCAACGATAAACTGCTTTGGAAGTGTTCAGAAAGTCCAATTGCACATTTGCTTCAGCTGTAAGAATAAAAAAAGGGAACAATTTGCCAGTTAACTGACTGTGAGACAGGTGAAATTGAATGTTCAGGCTTCGAGAGCAAACTGAAGCTTTATTAATGCTTGTGTGGAGTGCGTCTGTTTATTAGCAAAAAGGAAAAGGAAAAGCCAAGTGGTGAACAGTCAGCGTCAGCTTTCACAACAATAAAAGTGTTTCCATTGGAAAAGTTGAGCAGTAAGACCCGTCCTTAGCCTAATAGAGCAGTGAGACATAACGCAGGGGCTGATTACCTTTACCCTGCGCTTAAGTCTGAGCTTAATTAGCTCCAGGTACAGGTTTGTTGAACAAAAACCTAAAGAATGGGACATTGATCAAGGGGAAGCCTGGGACGATAAATCACCAGGCGAGTTTTGCAACATTATTTGTCTTTAATTAAGAATAAAAGGTTTATATCCTTGCAGACGGCAGCAGCTGCGCTCCCAGGGCCGCCCCAATTACAGATTGAGACAAAAAAGCAGGAAGCCCTGGAAAAACCACAAGTGAGATGTGGAGAACGACGCAGAGAGGCGGTGAGACGCATGTGGAACGAACGGCCGTAAACGTGCAACACGTGGGTGCCTCGGTGGGATTCTTTCCTCTTTAGCGCACGAGTGCGAATCAACAGATTGTTCATTTGTGTCTGTAAAAGCTGGACGAGCAGGAAGGGGCAGGGTATGGTTTTACAAGAGACACACGTGTGAGTTTGTGAGTTACAGATGGAAAGGAAAAAAGAAGGGCGTCCCTCGGATGGTCCCTCCCCAGCCCTGCCCCCTTTTGACATAGAGAGGAGTATCCTGTAGCTGATCCCCAAACTGGAAACTCATTCAGTCTCCTCTGAATGGAGTGGCTTTAATGTGAGAGTGGAGGACTAAACTTTGAGCAACGACATGATGAGAGCGCTGCATCCAGCCCTGGTCGGTGCCCTGCTGACCCTGCTGCTGATCTGCCTCCCCAGCCCTGGTCATGGAGGTAGGTGCAAATCCCTCTCTTAAGTGTCCTGACCCCCTCTTCTGGATACTTCTGTAAGAGATGCATGAGGGGAGATCAAATCACTGTCTCTCATAAATCAGAGCAAGCTGGTGCCTCCAACACAGACTAAACTTTAACTTTCAGTGCTACACTTGGTAAAATAAAGTTCACTTTTTATATATATTCTCATCTGTTATTCATATTCACAGCAGACAAGTCATCCACTGTGATGAAATTTTATTTTCCCCGAATGAAACTCAATACGTTTGGGAACAGATATGGCAAGGTCTGAGCTCGGCCTGAGGTCTGAGACATCTGCTGCCGGGTTCTTATTTGATGCCTTTTTGTTGTTGGTGTTGGCTACTGGCCTGCACCCTGCTGAATTTGTGAGTGTATATCTTCTAGGAAAGGTTTGCTCTGAAAGCATGTTTCCAAAAGCCTGGAGGTAGTGAAGTCAAAGCTCTCTGAGCTGAGGTCCCTCTGTTGACAGCAATGAATGGCTCTTTCAGGGAGGTGTGCTGTGGCAGGCAAAGCTGCTCCTTATTCACCCAGAGAGAAGAGAAGAAAGTAAGAGAGGGAGTGAGGGGTTAGTAAATGTGTCAAAGAGGCGGTATGGGTTGAGGAGATGCCTGCTGGATACCCAAATCCCATACAATGGTCCATAGAGATGGTGTGAAATGTTACAAGTCTTAATATGATACGGTGCAGGAACGGAAAGTTTTGTTGTGTGCAAGTACAGTTTGAGGGACATGTAGAGCAGTGGTCCCCAAAGTTGAGGTCCCAGCACCAAAGTGGGTCAAGAAACCCCAAATGTGGAGACCCTGAGATCAATAAAATAACATATGAGCTTTACAAATGATTACCAATAACCTATTCAGCCGTAAGTGTTACAAAACAGCCATTTATAAATGGATGTAAAATAAGATGTTTGTTAATGAGGCTCTTGGTTTAATGGTTTATATGTGTATGTATTTTAAATCCTCAATAATCTCTGCAACTTTTTTTTTTGTCAAAAGCTTTAAGACCACCGACATAGAGCAGTGGTTCTCAGATGACTCAATACTGAGCTCTTCGAGTGCTACTATTATGAATAAGATTACAAACAAACTCAGTAGTCAATCATATTTTCTTGAACCATTCAGATTTTAGAATAACTGTTTGTTTTTTTAGCTTTATGTCACAATTCAGCTTCCATCCATCCATCCAGCCAGCCAGGGAGACCCAAACATCTCTTTCCACAGCTACCTCTTCCAGACCTTCTGGGAGGACTCCAAGACGTTACCAGGACAGCCAAGAGACATACAGTAGTCTGTCCAGCATGTCCAGAGTCTTCCTCTGGATCTTCTCCCAGCCTGTAAAACCTCTCTAGGGAGGTGTCCACTGGAGTGCAGTGTCCCTCGCCTGGATGTGGGCTACCAGAGCCCCACCCTGGAGTCAGGCCTGGGAGAGAGGTTTGTCTGCAAGCACCTGGTGACTGGGCCTCTACCCATGAAGCCAGCTTAAAGGAGTTAAATGGGTTTGACTTTCTGTGGGTCCACCACCTGCAGGAAGGCATATACAGGTCTGGTGCGTGATGCCATGGGTGGTAGCCAAAGGCATGGGCCTTGGTGCTCTGACCCTGGCTTACCAAAGATGGCTCTTGGGACAATTCAGCTTATGACAGTCAAATAGTTTATTTAGCTTGTTGAAAGTTGACAGACAAAAGTTTCTCCTGAATCCCACTAGAGGGATCCTGAGTATCTCCAGTAGTACTTATACCACAGTTTGAGAACCATGGAGTGTTTGGTACTAGATAGGAGTGTAAAATCCTGCCTAACCAAACGGATCAGTACAAAGTTGAACAGCTGACAAGTTGGTAGCTTCTGCCTTGAACTTGGACAGCTGTTGTACCCATTGTTCTCCTTTGCCGAACTGCTGCTGGATCTCAAAAAGTGTCTCTGCAAATTCCACTTCAATTAACGCCCTGGCAAACCTCTCCAGGAGAGGCTTCGTGTCGGCTAATGTGAAGAGAAAAAGTTGCTTTGATCTGAACGGAGGAGTGCTGCTTTGTTTTAGTGGCCCCGAATCAAAGCTCAGCCGGGGAGCTGAATTCAGTTTGTCTGCACAGTGAGCAGTTCATGACGAGCATAAAAAGAGTCATCTGCCCTTCTGTTTACTCATTTACAGATAAGCCCCGCTGACTGGTGTGACGGTGACACCTCTGCTAAAAGAATTAACGGCGAGCCGAGCCAACGGCGGCTGCCTGAAAGTGGTCACGTTGCGTTTGCTGGCAATTTGCAGACACAGTTTACATAACAGTCAGAAGCATCATCGTGAAAACAGAACAAAGCTTCAGTGTTGGTGCTAAATGATGCAGCAGATGTAACTTACTTCAGATCTGTCTAAGAACCAATGTTCCTCTAATCAAAATGATGGCAGAATGAAACTTAAAGGGAGGTAAAAGGCTAAATGTGAGAACAGAGTCTGCTCATCTAATTATCAACTGGCACAATTCCTGCTGCGTCAGTGTGGCAGAGCTCATCCTCTGACCCTGGAGAGTTTAACACTAATGTTGACCAGATGTACCAAGTCACTGATTAGATTTTAACCCCCACACAACCCCCACCCTAATGACTCCATAAAATGCCGACAATAAGCTCCTCTACAGAGTTTACCCCCTCCCCCAAGTTCACACCTTCATATGTCCTCCATATGGCCCTCGAAGCCGGCTTGCACTTTTTTAGGACTTGTTTTGCGATCTTCCTTTAGCTGTTTAAAAATATATCTAGGTGTTCTTGCCAAGTTGTACGTCCAGGAACATCTTGCACAGGAGCAGTTGTTTAAACACGGTGCAGCGAGCCATTTCATATCATAACAACACATTTTTACTGTGGCGCAGACTTTCACTCTTTTGTCTGGTGTGTTTCGATTTCCTTCTTCATAAGAAGCCCTGTGCCAGAAACTGAGCTAAAGGGATCTCTGACTAACTGCATATACTGACCTTGATATATTTAGCTGTTCTACTAATAAAATGTTGGTGTTTGTGACGCATGAAATCTCCTCATTACTTAAAAAATGCCATGTTCATTACATTTTTCACCTCTAAGGACATCAACATCATTTTACCAGTGCAATGCGTTCTGGGGCGATAACGTACATCGGTTGCAGTAGAAACTATAACACAAGGAGCTGAGGCTAAAAAGTTATAATGTTTGACAATAAAGTAAGATTTTTATCAGTCCTTATGTACAATATGTGGGTCGAAACAATCAAACATGATTTTTATTTAACATTTATTTATACAGGCTAGTCTCATTGAGTCACAAGGACTCATTTTCAAGAGAGACCTGATTTAGACAGACAACATCTAAAGTACAGACAAAAAAAACAACAATTAAAAGCTGTTAAAATAATTTTTTAAAAAGTGCTATAAAAACACAATGTTGTCAGCATGGTCCTGTTTTTTCCTTTCTTTTTTCATTCAACCTTTATTTCCATGGTCCTGTTAGCATTGTAGTCCTATTAGCAGAGTGGTTCAGTTAGCAGCATGGTCCTGTTAGCAGCATGGTTCTGTTAACAGTGTGGTACTGTTAGTAGCATGGTCCTGTTAGCAGCATGGTCATGTTAGCAGCATGGTCCTGTTAACATTGTGGTACTGTTAGTAGCATGGTCCTGTTAGCAGCATAGTCCTGTTAGCAGCATGGTCCTGTTAACAG